CTTTTTGAGACAGGGTCTTACTATGCAGTTGAGGCTGGCCTTGAACTCACTTTGTAGCCCAGGCTGGTCTGGAACTTGCATTGATCCTCCTGCCTCAGCCTCCTGAGTGCTGGAATTACAGGCGTGCGCTACTAGGCCCAGCTAGCATTTTTCATCTCTGTATAATGATCCAAATTTCTACTGGTTTCATATTTTGTTTTTCCAAACAAACTTTCAAAAAATGTTTCTTGTAATACCATGAATTCTGTCAGTCTCATTTGTCTGAGAAATACTTGTCTGGTTTTCATTTAAAATATATATTTCACAGACCCTTTGGATTCCTGAAACTCCAACTCACTAGTGGATTCAAAGGCAGTTAAAAATTATTTAATTTTCTTTTCTTTGATAGTAGAGGAATAGCGCTCTTTCCAGCTTCCTGAATCCTTGTATAAATTGAACCAATTATTTTTAGTAAATATCTTTTGAGTGTGGATTTGTGATAGGCTTCATGGGATAAACAGAAGTAAAATATGTATCCTTTATTTGGAAGAGATTGCTTCAAAACTGGAAGAGAAAGTGGCCTGTTATATACTGAGATAGGCATCCAATGCCAAAGAGGTGTGGGAGGGACAAAAATTGAATTTGCTCTTCCTTTGCTACTTGATAACAGAAAGAGTATGTAATTATGAAAACCACACCCTCTGAGTTTTACTTCCACGTGCTAACCAGAGACGCTCCTTCCGCATCCTCTATCCTTAGGACCACAGCAGCAATCATCTTAGAGTTGCGGGGACGATGGCTCATGAGATGGGCCACAATCTTGGAATGATTCATGACTACACTGATTGCAAGTGCCCGTCCACAGTCTGCGTGATGAAGAAAACGATAAGGTAAGAGTCTCCGGGTAAATGCCGCACACACCTTTCTTGTGATATATTCTGGGCTATATATTTTTGGGGTCATTTTTAAGATATGCTCAAGTTTTTAAATTCAGTAATTTTATAATTGAATTATTTATTAGCATATTATATCACACTGCCTTACCCTTGATCTACATATAATGTTTCATGTTAACTAAGACATACCTTAAACACATTACTTCTTTGCTTTTGAGGCCACTCATCATTGTATCTTCATCTACACAAGTTGGTGCTTCAAAAAACATTTGCATTCATCAAATTTTCCATGAGTTCAGAGGGGTGGTGGTAGGGAACAGGTTCTCGTTGAGAAACTGATTTCAAATGGGGACTTCTCACAGGAAGTTGAACATAGCCTGTGAAAAGAGATGATATATGCCTGCCTTGTGTTAGACAATATTCCTAGGAAATCATATTTTTATAGATTTTACAGTCTCCTTCATGTATTCATTTTGTCTTTTTTATTCTTGTCCTCGGCTGTGTTAAGCCCTACTCTCCTATGCCCCTTGACAAAACAATATGGGTGTGTGGCCGTCATATATAGCTTATGCCATCTCCCTCAGGTAGTATCAGTATTTAAACCTCATCTGTATTGGTGGAATGAAGACATTATCAAACTGAAACTGATATAAGAGAAAGTGAATTCTCAGATATATGAATAAATGATTTTGCTATGTTAGGACTTCACAGCCCAAAGTGAGCTAAGCCTGGATAGTGTTATCTGGATAAGCCAGAAGCATTTTTGTTTTAGTAAAACTCTTCTGGATGTCACATTTTAAGATATGCCCATATTTTCTTATTGAGCTGGAGGTGTTCTTATGAATCCAAGTCAGATTAATTGAGGCATACAAATGAGCTCATGGTGTAGCAATTGTATTTATCTTTTTTTCTTTTTTTTTTTTGGTACTGGGAATTGAACTCAGGACCTTGCTTTTGCCGGTCAGGCACTTGTGCCACTGAGCTATATCCCTGGCCCCAATTTATCAGTCGAACAGACTTCGTTGGTTTTGGAACAAGCTGTAGGTATACTTGTGCTCACTGTTAAATATTGATCCCTACATGTCAAGAATGATCATATTCCTTTTTCTCTTTCTTTGTCTTCACAGCTTCTATATACCCACAGATTTCAGTTCCTGTAGCCGCTCCAACTATGATAGATTCCTTGAAGATAAATTATCAAATTGCCTCTTTAATGTCCCACTACCTACAGATATCATATCCACCCCATTCTGTGGGAACCAGTTGGTAGAAGTGGGAGAGGACTGTGACTGCGGGACCCCCGAGGTACTACCAAATCCTTTTAAAATAATTTAGTTTTTTATAGTTGCTAAGAAGATAAAATATAAAAATATACAGTCCACCTCAAAATGACACATTTCTTATAATTTTGTATATGTTCATTGGTAGATATTTGTCTGTCCAGTCTTTCTGATACAGAGCCTATATTGCTTAATAGATTTTCTTAATTTTTCACTTAGTGTTTCTTCTTATGCTTTTTTTGAAAAACTACTCTTCACTACCATGGGATTTGTGTCCCCATCCCTACCATTCTAGTGGATGTACTTCAAGGTTTTTATATGACTACCATGACTCTGAGTATGACTTTAGGTAAGCCCTGTGACAATGATGAGAGAAGATGCATAGCTGGTTTGCTCAGGGTCACAGAGCTGGTCAGTGGAAGAGCCAAAATCTGGATCCAGCATTTCTGTGCTTGGAGTCCAGCAGCAGCCAGCGCAGGGATCTAACATCTCCTGGTCCTATACTGCTTCAGGACACAGCAGCGACTGCCACCGACTTTACTTACCCTGGTCACAGGGCTGCTGTGATTCTGAAACAGGCCTTTGCTGTATCTTAACTCTTACTAGGAGTAATGTGTCAAGCTCTTAGGGCTGGCTTTGCAGTAACTTCAAAATAGGATTATAAATTAATTCATCTGATGAGCAATTTCTTAACATATTTATTTGAACTAAGTGCTAGGCTTCTAACTGGAAGATGTTGTCACTCTAAGGATACCATTCTTGCCTAGAAATCTGGACAGTTGTAAGGAAAATTATTGGAGGTAGGAGCTTTTCCAGCTGCTCACACAGATGAGTTTCTGGTTCCTCGGAAACAAAGTGGGGAGACAAAGACAGAGCAAAATGCTTTAAATAAAGCTGAGCTAAATGTCAGAATTGCATAAGGTAATATACCTTCAGCTTTTCAGTAGGAATTTTAGAGACTGTTTTGTTGCTGGATAGATATATAACTAATGAGTTGAACCCAGTATGTTTTGGAACTATTTTGATGCATTTAATTTAAAACTATCCTTTTTCTTTTCTTTCCCTCATACTTTACCCAGAATAATAGATCTTTCTTGAGTATTGATGTGGGAACTGGAGGACAGATATTTAGAAAATATATTTAAGTTTAAAAAGATGTAAATAGAATTTAGATAAGTACAAATAACAAGTTGCCCCAAAGTCTGTTCTCATAATGTAAAGTTTTTATTATTCATTTTATTATACGTTTTTATTTTCCTAAAGATCATTTTGAGGTTCTTCCAAAGAAATATCTATGTGATAGATAAATTATGTTATGAATTGTGCAGAAATAGAACCCAAAAATAACCCATGACATGCATTTACTTTTGGTATTTCTTAGGAATGTACCAACACTTGCTGTGATGCTAAAACATGTAAAATCAAAGCAGGTTTTCAATGTGCATCAGGAGGATGCTGTGAAAAATGCCAAGTAAGATTAATTCATTCTATTTTGATACTTATAATCATTGTTATACTCAGATCAGTGACTATGTTAGATAATATAGGCAAAATCATCTTTTCAAATAAAATAATGACATTCAAATATTTACTGGATGGGTTTTTTACATACAACACCTATTTAATCTCTCAACAACACAGCAAGGTGGGTATTATCTCATTTTGCTTTTAAGGGGAAAGGCGACTCAGAGTAGAACATGTGCAAAATATCATGGCCACTATTTCTGAACAACTGGGATGACTCTGGAGCACATTATGCCAAGTGAAATAAGCCAGGCATAGAAAGACAAATACCACATGATTTCATGTACATGTGGACTCTAAAAATGTTGTGCATATAGATATACACAGAGAGTAAAGCAGTGCTTTCCAGACATAAAGAGATATTAGTTAAAGGGCACAAAGTTGTAATTATACTCAATGGGTAAAATTGGAGATCTAATATACAGCATGGTTATAGGTAATGATACTGTACAACAGGCCAAGAATTTGCTATATACAAATACTTTGGCTCACAGTTTCAGAGGATTCAGTCCATAGTCAACTGACTCCAAAGCAGAAGCATCATGGTGGAAGCACATGCCGGAGGAAAGCCGGTCCACTCATGGCATGTGGGATGCAGAGAGCAGAGGGACTGTCAGAAAGAAGGGCCCAGAACCAGATTTGTTCCTCAAGAGCATGCCCGTATGACCCATCCAGACACACCCAGATGTGTACTTAACTAATCTCCTACAAGACCCTCAAATCAATCAGGCTGACAATCAAAATTAACCAGCACATTACATGAAAAGAGAAGTATGTTAACTTGCTTGACTGTAGTAATCATCTCACTTTGCACATATACATGAAAATATCATGTTTTATATCTTAAATACACACTGTTAAGTTTTAAAAAAAAACAAACATGGTCACTGTCTAGTGGGCATGTCTGCTCACACAGTTAGGAAAAGATGTTTCCTCAGATTTGTAGGAATGAAGTAATTCATTTTTAGTAAAGTTTTTTTGAGATAATAGAAGCAAGATTTGCAGTAACAGATTACAATGAAGTTCATGTATCAAGTGAATATTTCATTACGTTTCCTGCATGATGAAGCATTCCATTAGGAGAAGTGAGTTGAAAAGAAATATCTGAGCCTACAATCAAAGGAATTTAGATTTAGACACCTTGATGCTTGGGAAAGTCTGGTGCAGTTTTGTTAATCTGGTGCTTGTAAAACTGTTATCCTTAACACACAAGATCCACTACAACAATGGAGCTCTGAAATTGCAGACATAAACCTTGAAAATCTTGACAAGGACTCAGGCAACAAAGGGGGAAATAACTTCCTTCTCTACATCTAGAGGTGTCTCGGTTTTCTTCTGAAGTTTTCTACACTAGGCTTCTTTATGTGCATAATACACAAACAAAATGCTGCTTGCTTAAAGACTTCAGGTGATCACCAGCACTGAGAAGTGATGTAACAGAAGATAGCTTTAGTGGATGCAGTGCAAAAAGTATACTTCCAACAGCCATGTCCAGACAGGCCAAATAGAAAAAGATTACATGTGGTCATGTGAAATATTTGGATAAAGTGGGAGGATAAAACCTTCTTCCTGTTTTTCTGCAGTTGAAAAAGGCTGGAACGGTGTGCAGATCAGCAAGACATGAGTGTGACCTGGCCGAAATGTGTGATGGGAAATCCAGTCGCTGCCCTGATGACAGATTCAGGGTCAATGGCTTCCCTTGTCAAAATGGAAAGGGCTACTGCTTGATGGGGGAGTGCCCTACACTGGAAGAGCAGTGCACGGACATGTGGGGCCCAGGTAGGGAACAAGCTCTTCTCTCTGTGTACGTACAAAAAGAGATAATTCAGGTGGCAGTGTTTAATCATGGCCAAAGGACCACTCTGTTCACTACTCTCAGAAATGGTGTCACTACTCAAAATTCTGGGTGAGTGCATTTTAAGAATAAAAGATTACGCTTGTTAGATTTAGCTAACAGAGATGAGAGTGGATCAGATACATTTTAATTTCAGGTTAGCAACAACCTTTTGTTTTAGCATCAGTTTGTCTCATGCAGTGCTTGAGATATAATAAAAAACATCTTTGTTTATTTAAAATTCAATTTTAAAAGGATATATTGTGTGTGGTCAACTGTAAGGTTCCCTTGAGGCAAATGTACCCTTGGAAGTCTGCATATGTGCAGATGTGCATGTGAGTCAATGAGTGAGAATGTGTGTGTGTGTATGTGTGTGTGCGTGCATGCTCATAGATGTGCATATTTGTGGCAGGCATGCTGGGGGATGGCCAGTAGCAAGGAGAAGGGGGAGAAGAAGAGAAGGACCTAGAAAATGCAAACAGCAATGGGACTTTGTGAGGACTGTTAAGTGGCCACTGTCCCCTGGAATTTTAGAGAACTTTCTCTTAGATTCAAAGATAATGAAAACAATTTTTAAAATATCACTTAAAGATCTCCAAAAATCCTAACCCAAAATTAAATTTTTATTAAATAGCTTGACTAGAAAGGCAACTTTAGATGACATATGTGAGATTACTTATTAGTAAAATCCAAACAAAGTTGAGCTTTCAGAGGTAGAGAGCAAATAGGTGGATACCAGGAACTGGGGAAGAGGGGTTAGTAAAGATTACAAAATTCTGGGAAAAAAGAAAGGCAATTTAAAAAAACAAATATTTGAACTACCTGAATATTGTGTGTATTGTATCCAAATATTTAATTGCTGTAACCTTTTCTGTTTTCCTTTGAATTCCTGCTTAAATAGCTGAGGGAATATTTATTCAAGAAGGCAAAGAAATTACAAATTCCTAAAAATAATTGAAAAGGATCATTACCTAACTCCTGAGAATACACCTAAATCAAAATGGAGGGATAAAATTTTTAAAATCCCTGACCCACAAAAACCTCAGAAAAGAAGAAACATGGAGATCTTTTTAAAAATCTCTAAGTAAAACACTTTGTGTCTAGCTAGAGAAGGCTAAGACCATTTGAGACGCACAATTTGAACACCTCATAAGTGTGCTATTTGTTAGACTCTGGCTGAAGTCCTGCTTACACTTCCTGGAGGTGGTTATACTAAATTAAACCTGGAAACAAAATTGGTTTTGCTGGATAACAACCTTATGCTTCCTTGGTTAACTTCTTTATATGACAAAAGCCTGGGGAAAGAAAACTTTAGCACAAAAGTTGATAGTTTGTAGTGCAGACAGGTACCTAGCACCTGTCTGCACTACAAACTACCTGTCTGTTACCTGTCTGATTTACAAGACATCAACTTAGAGCAGGGTCACAGTTCCGCTACCTCTTAGCACCATGCCTGACTTTACTAAATGTTCAGAATTATCTGTTGAACTAATGTTGAACACATCCATCTTATGCTGGAATTGGAAAGAGCTTTAAGTTCACACATATATAGGCAGTCATTATAAAATACTACAAAAATAGATCTGTCTAAAAATTATACATTTACAATGCATAAAAGATCACGAGTTTATTTTAAATGGATCTAAAAACTTTTTGCATGTATAAATATGCAGAATAAAAGTTACTTTTTTGAACATTAAATCGTTTCTACAAATCAGTTGGAATTCCAAGCATAGAAAACGTGATAATACACAAAGAGGCAATTCTTTATAATGAAGAAATCCAAATGTCCAATAAATTTTAAAATCATTTAACCAAGTAGTAGTATAACAAATATGAAAAAAATAGTCTTCTATGTTTGTGAGTTTGCAAAGATTTGTTCCAAGTGTTAATGTTGGGTGTTTGTACAGATGTGAACATGCAACTTCACACTTTTGTTGATAAAATCATGAATTAACACAATCTTTACAGAGAAAATTGGAAACACAGGTACATATTGTCATTTTTGCCCTAGAAATTGTACTCCAGAGTTATTTAGTGATGAGAATTATTCTGAAGCACTGTTTTTTAAATGGTAGTGATTTTGGTTTTATTTTCTCTGTCTGCAATTTAATATGACTTTGAGGTTCCTTTGTGGTAAAATGAGACTGATAGAAGAATAACTAAAATTCCTTAGCCACATACTACTGACCAGGCACTATTCTCAGTGGCTCACATATGTTAGTTCATGTAATTCTCACACAAACTTTATGAGACAGGAAATAATGTACATAACCCCATTTTACAAATGAACTGCTCACCTATACCAACAAAGACACCTGCCCAGCTGCACAAAGTTGTTCAGTCTTGCTTAAATCCTGAGCTCTTTTTTTTTTTTTTTTTTAATAGACAGACAACCTTCTACAAAATAGCAAAAGAACAGTACAGGCAATACAGAGTTACAAACAAAGTGGCAGGAAATTAACAATGCTTGTTGTATTACACATTGATATCTTCAAAGTAGTTTCACATGAAAACAAACAGAGACACGCAATATTGATCAGCCAAGGACTCATTGACAGCTTCTTTCAGCAAAGAAATAGAAGACAGTAGAACAACCATGTTAACTATCCTGTATATACATACATACAAAATTTCTCCTTCTTTCCCTTCTCTTTTCCCACATTCCAGTTGCCCTTTACCCTTGAGCATTTTCCTATCATTTAACAATGTCTATCATACCTCCAAGTTTATATTAACTCTTTCAGGTTTTACACTAGTGAAACAATGTGGTGCTTGCACATGCGGGTCTGATTTATTTCACTTATGAGTATGGTCTCTAGTTGTGACCATTTATCTATAAAAACCTTGAGTTTATCTTTCCTTAGAGCTGAGTAATATTCCATTATATAAAAGTACCACAATTTTCTTATCCAATCCTCAGTGGGAATCAGTTTGGAAATCCTGAGCTCTTATCCACTATGTTTTGGACCCTTCTGATGGAATGTGAGGAAGATTTCATGAGAAAAAAATATGTAATGTTTATCATTGTTCATGGTACACAGTAGGAGTGAAAAGTGTAGTACCACTGCACTTATCAACAGGATAGAATTTGAATAACAGTGCTTACAGACTGTTGACATAATGACCAAGTTTTCTAGTTGAGTCTTCATATTTAGGTGGATTTTTAACTTTCAGCAAAATGCTTACACATGTCTAGATTACCATTATGCAATAGTAGGAGATTATTCCAAAATCTAGCCACCTCTTCTGATAGCAAATTATTGCATTTGTAATGCTGAGAATTTTCAGTAGAATTATGTCAAAATATTGTAGGCTGAACATCTCCAATCAGAAAATTTGAAATCCAAAATGCTCCTAGATCCAAAATTATTTTGAACACCAATATGATTCACAAGTGGAAAACACCTCATTTGACCTCATGTGTGGAGTTAGAATGAAAACTCAGGAATACTAAAAATATTGAATAAAGTTATCTTCAGGCTATGTGTATAAAGTATATCAGAAACACAAATTAATTTCATGTTAGATGTATAATGTATCCTTAAGATATCTCACTATGTATAACCATATATTCTAAAATTTGAAAATTGCAATCTAAGTAGCTCTGTCCTAGGGATTTTGTGTAAGGGATACTCAATCTGCACTTTTTATGCTAATCCTTTGCAACATTAATTTGTTGTCTCTTTCATTTTCAAATATGCTCCTACAATTCTTACCTGGTCCAGGAACCAAGGTTGCAGATGAATCATGCTACAAGAAGAATGAAGGTGGGTCCAAGTATGGATACTGTCACATGGTGAATGACACCCACGTTCCCTGCAAAGCAAAGTAAGTGGCTTTGTTATTTGAACCTTCCTGTTCCACAGACCAAGGTAATGGCACATTTCCAGCCCAATTTATTCCAGTTGAAGGGAAAGTGAGTTTGGATAGCATTTATTTCACACATTCACTGAGTGCCTATACTATGTACCAAATGGACGAGGTCCTGATCCTGAAAACAAAATGGGAGAGTATATCTTTCTTCAAATCTCTCATGGTGCGTGCTGCTAATGGAATCAAGTACAGCTGTGAAGTAGAAGGGGCATTTGGAATGTCACAAGCATCACTGAATGGGCCCACGTGGAAATTTGCCCATGAATCTCCCAGTATACCCTAAGTACCTTTTTCAATGTAGTGTTTTTCATTATGTGTCTAAGGATAGAAATACTTCTTGACCAAGAGGCATAATCAATAAAGTCAAACACACTTTTATTTAAATTTGCCATAGAATTACATGATGAAAATATTCAGCAAGAGAAAAGATTGACAATTCACTTGTAGTACTTGTTTTATTTCTTATATTGATAACCTAGAAAAAATTATAGAATGAACTTGAGATTTTTCTCTTGTATTTTTTTAATTCATAATTTTAAGATGAACTTTAAAAATTCAAATTACAGGAGACTGACGTCTTTGTATCTGTTTCAAATTTGGTATACACAAAGCAATTTAGAACCACAGATTGAACAAGATTAGCATTTCCTAAAGTTAGCTATTGAACACTACCCTTACTGGATGAAGAGTATCACCAGACAAACTATAGTTTGAATATAGAGTCATCTCCTGGAGAGAAATCGGGACCCAAAGGAAAAATCCTCTTGTGTGATTTCTCCATTACAGAAACTCAAGGCAGATTGGGAAACGGGCGGAAGTTACGTGAAAGGCACAATATGGTGGACGGAAGTGCACATGTTGGTGGTGGGTAGCCGGAGAGCAGGCTAGTTCCATTTTTACCTACAGTCTGTGCACGTGCCACTGTCCTATACAACCATTTATACGAACAACGGACAGTTTCTGTAACAAAACACTCAAATGTCTCATTCATCCCACGCACTGGCCCCCTCACTACTTCTTAATAGTCATTCACTGTAGTGAGAGGCAGCCTGAAAAGTTTCAGTAGCCAGGGCTGTTCTTTATGACTTTAACTAAGAGATACAAGGAAAACACCCTCTCGAGTTTGGAGAGAATGTACAGCATCTTCCACTTCTCGTTTATACCTTCTATAGTCATCAAAGGCATCAGAAAAATCTGATTCTATCTGTCTTAGCCACTTTCTCATTGCTAGGACAAACATCATCACCGCCTATAACTTACTGGAGGCAGGGCTTATTTGTGCTGGAAGTTTTTAATGGTTTCCATCCATATTCAGCTGTGCGCAAGGCAGAAATAGAATGACAGAGGTGCCTGGCAGAGGAGAGCTGCTTAGGTCATAGCAGTCAGGAAGCAGAGAGATAGAAGAGAGGGGCCAGGGAGGGAGATGCACCCTTCCCTTCACACCACCAGTGAGTGACCTGGCTCTTCTGACCAGGCTCCATGTCCTATCAACACATTTACCTTTGAATGCATCTATAGATTAATCCACTGATGACTATAGCACCTCATAATCCAATCACCTTCTAAATGTCCCACCTCTGAATACTTGACACCTTGGAGGGGCATTTTAGATTAAACCATAGCATCATCACTTTCCAAACACTTTTCTATAGCCTATCTCTGAATTATTCATCAAACAACTGAATCCAATTGCCTTGATTTGACTTTGTACACATTTATGAGGGTTTTATTGAATTTGGAGCAGTTTAACCTGCAGGGACTCAGTTTTGGTAATCAGAGTTAATGAGTAGGGGTATCAAAGGAGGCTCAACTTTGTACAGATCAAACCATAGTTGTGAGTTAAGGTTTGCATGTGTTAGAATTATTCTGCTGAAAGTCATAAAAACAAATACACAATTTTTCTTTTAAGATTACTCTGTGATGTCTGAGACTCAGTGTTCATGTGCATTCTAACTCCACAGTGCATATGGGCTCCACTCCCAAGAGCTTGTCTTGGTTTGTGAAGGCTTCTTCTGGTCCAGCCATCACACTGCAATCAGTGAAGAGGTGAAAATGCTGAGGAAAAGGACATGTGCCGTTATTGACAACTACTTTCTAGAACTTGAGCTCAAGATTCTTCTTCTTTCCCACTCACCAGAATTTAGGGAACTGGCAAAAATTACTGGACAGAATCTGGAAAATGTCTTCTTCTGAGCAACAATATACTTTGCTGATATTCTGGGGTGCTGCCATTGAGGGATAAATAAAAATGGATATAAAGTACAAAATAAACATCTCTGCTATAGAAAGAAATATTATGCATTATGCATTGATAACCCTGGAGCTGATTTACATTTCTATAAAACTTTAATAGATTCTATTTTATTTCCTCAGAGACGTCATGTGTGGGAAGCTCTTCTGTGAAGGTGGGTCAGGTGATTTGCGCTGGAAAGGATTTACAATATCTTTCCTCACATGTAAACTGTTTGATCCTGAAGACAAAAGTCAAGGAGTAGACATGGTGGCCGATGGAACCAAGTGTGGGCATAGCAAGGTGAGTTGAAATGGCAGCTTTCACTCAAAATGATAGTTTTCTTGTTCGGCTTTTGGTTTGGTGTTTGCTTCTTAGTTATTCACTTGTTACCTTGTTTACCAGTTATTGGGTTCATCATACATTGACAATAGGTGGGGATTTGCATGTGGAACACTGTGAACAGTGTAAGACTTGAAAATGGTAGAGAGCCTAGTAAATACCAAGAACAAGGACTGTCATTAACATTTTCAAATACTACATTGAAAAGTAGAAATAATGACTCTTACAGATATGATTTCAAAAAAAGTATGATACATATATGTTTTCTCTTTATGAGATATTAAACTTCAGTTAATAAGTTTGTATATCTGTAAAAATAAAATAAGCCACAATCTCAGGCAACAGAACCACATTGGTCAGGGGCGACACATGCGCTCTGGTGATGAGCTTCAACTCCTGTAGGATATTAAAGTTGCATTATTGATTGCATTCAGACCTGTATATGACTCAGAATCTACCCTGATTTTTTTCTGTGCAAGCCAGTCCTGAAAATACTCTCTCATTTACATCACTTTCTTTAGCCATTTAAATATAAATTCATTCACGAGTGTCTTTAAAGTTACTTTATGGTTTGGTGTTTGTATTGCCCATAGCAAATTTTCAGAAGTAATTCTAAAAAGGTTAATGGAATTGGCATCACCCTTGAGGCTGAATGCCAAGAATATACATTTAGAAAAGTTTGAAATTCTGCTGAATGGAAGCTAAAATCTTAATCTTGCACGTAAGAAAGATTCAGTCTTTAGCTTTCCTTCTTCCTGCTTTCCTGAAATATGCACCGTCATCACGGGCAAGAATATCACATAAAGTAGAAAAAGTCCTTACTGGGAACTTCCAGTCTTCACAGACTAATGCCTGTCTGACATCTACTGGCAGTATTTTAAAGACACGAGACATCACAGGGCGTGGCATGCGTGTAACAGTGCTTGCACCAAAAGGGAGGACGACTACTTGAGCTAAGGCAGAATTTAGATATTTCTAGGTCCCCTGGCATCAGGATCATTTTGTTGTTATTATTCATCTCTTCTTATGTACTCATCGCTTCTGAGACATAGAGTAGTGTGGACTTTTCAAAAATAGGTAACTCTTTAGATCAAATTCTTCGTTCTTTTGGAATTGGTTTAACTAAGTGAACACCAAGAGCAGCAGAGTTCATCTCCATTTCCCCTCCCATGGACCTGCCCTCGCCTCAATTTACATAAAGAGGATCGTGTATCTTTACTTTACCCTGTGATAACTCCATGCTCCTCACATACACCTCAACTTTCTCATCTTCAGAGGCAGGAGGCAATTTCAAAGGCTTGCATTTCCTTATTTAGCACTCAGTTGTGTGACATTATTTCTACCAGTCACTGTGCATCCTCTTTTTCTTTTAAATTATGAATCCCCAAATCTGCATCATCAATATGTAGTTGGGTTTTGATCTGATTTTACAAAATTTCTTTTCTTATGTCTCCTACTGTGTGGTAGTAACAGTTCACATGTTGTATCAGTTAGAATGCTTTAGGTAGTGGAGGAAGAGAAAAACCAACTAAAATTTACTTAAACAATTAGGACATCATCAATTCACACAATCCTGAGTCTGGAGGTGAAGGGTTAGTGTGTAGTTGATTCAGTAGTACAATGTCACCGTCAAGAAACTGTCTCTTTTTCTGTCTCCTGCCATCTCCAGAAAGCTGTATGCTTCTTCAGGCTGCTGCAGGCACTGCTGCCCCTCCAGGCAGTAATGCAGAGGTGGAAAACACAAGATTGTCTTGTGCATATTGAGTGAAGACATTTTTCTTAGATGCTTCTTTCTGGCAGATTTGACTTCACTTATTATTGCCCAGAATTGTATCACCCACCCATACTTTTTTTAAATTTTGCTTTAAAGAGAGAAGAACAGAAACAAAATAACAGAAATAAAACACAAAAACATTTAAAATAATACAGAATTTCAAAACAAGATGATAGGAAATTAACAGTGGTGGTTGTATTACATACTGTTATCTTCAAGGTAGTTGCTTAAATTACCAGATGTAGGTGTGCAAGACTGATCAAACAGTTAAACATTAACTGTCCCTTTCAATAACCCACCTGTTCTTAAACCAGTACCTGACCAAGGACAAGAAATTGTGATGGTTGACCTATAGCCATTAAAATTCACCCTCAGAATTAGGGAAGGCCTCACTAGGCCTAGAAAGCAGATAAGGATCTCAAATATTAATTAATGTTTGTATTAATCAGATGTCTGAGACAAACACCATCTTCTGCCAGGCATGTTAAACAATTACAATAGGTACTATAGCATCACTCTATTTAGATGGATAATGTTGACTTTTTCACACTTGCTTTTAACAGTAGAACACTTTATTCAAATGGAAAAACATTTTATTCAAATGGGAGAACACTTTATTCACAAAATAAATAAAACCAGAGCAGCTCTAGAGAAAGTGGGCCACAAACTCTTCACCTGCGTCTTGCTCCTAATATTCTGTGGAGCATTGTGTGCAATTATGTTTGTCTGCATTCATTCCTCTAAAGGTGTTTAGTAGATACCTATTATATGCTTAGGAATCGATCATAAAACCTCATACATTTTGTCACTCTCAAACTAGTAAGTGTTTAATGCCTGAAAACCACTCTGATCATAAGAGAAAAAGGCAAACACTATTCAGTTCATGTCAACTGCAGTTATTGTAATACCACACATGATGTGATGTCAACGTTTATTTTCTCTTACACTTTTATTTGAAAGGGACACCTGGTATTATGTGAATGCTCAGTAATAAATGTCAATATTAAATATGAACTGAGGCTGTCATTGAATAGAAAGACCCAACAGGAATGAAACAGAGGAAGTTTTCTCTAAAGAGAACTTTGTAAACATTTTATTATCAAAATGATCAGATGTTATCTTCCTGTTTCAATAGAATGCTATGATTTACTGATGAAAAAGTGAGCTCCATTACAGTAATCATGAGTCATATAAGGCTCAAGTCTAAGCAGTTAAGAATTTCAGATCTGAAACCAGTAGACATTAACATCACCTGCCTGTGTTTTCTGTCACTTTTAGGTGTGCATTAACGCAGAGTGTGTGGATATGGAGAGGATCTACAAGTCAGCCAACTGTTCCTCTAAGTGCAAAGGACATGCTGTAAGTGTTGTACATGTGCACTTGTGCTTGCTGAATCTTAGGTGGTTGTAGGTCAGTTGTGATGAAGCTGAAGCAGAGGTTTCAGCATTCAGTGATTACAATTGTTCAGATTACTTGACCCCTCGGTAACACAGCAGGTCAGAAATCTCTTTGGAAAACCCATTACTGAAGCCCCTAGGATTCAGTCAGCCCTAGATAAGCAGATGAAAGCTGGTGGAATAGGGGGGCTTTTCTGGTTCAGGATGGACTTCGGCTGTGTGGAGCTCGGTGATCAGTGTAATGATGAAACACGGCATTGCTGCTCCTCTAGGTGTGTGACCATGAGCTCCAGTGCCGGTGCAAAGAAGGATGGGCCCCTCCCGACTGCGAGGATTCCTCCACAGTCTTCCGTAGGTAACACTCCACATCCTCAGAGCATGGCTGTCCTCTCCTAAACTTTTATTCCGCATCGCATACAATTTCATTGCCTCTTTTCTCTTCCCTTGGAATCCCCGTTTTCCAGCTATTGATTCCACAATATTGACTCCCAACATGCCTCTAACAACTTTTTAATCCTATTTCCATATTTCTATGTTTTTATTCTACACGTAACATATAGCTTCAAGTTTTATATTCATAATATTCTTTTAATTTCCCAAATTTTCATGTTTTATGAATGTTTTCTTTTCAGCACTGACTGCACTGAATAGATAAAGTAAACTCATAAAAATCTCTGGCAAGATTTAGGTTACTTTTGGAGGTTGAATTCTGTCCTGAGTTACCTCTAGCTGTTTTAAAGTGGGCTGTCCGTTCCTTTACCATGCTGTCTGTGTCATCGGACTGTTTTTCTTCAGAATGTGGCAATCTTCTTGAATGAGGAGTTAGGTTGACTTGCATTGGCTTACCTGGGTTTCTTTGTATTTTTGTGTGCTTGTTATACTTATAGATATTTTTCTTGGTGTTGGCTGGGTTGTGAGTTTTCTTATTTCTTAGTAGGTAAAGAGGTCTCCTCACAGGCTGTGAGAGACAGCAAGCCAGAGTGGGGACTCTCACCCGCAGCGCCATGATGACTACTTCACCCTGAAGAGAGACCCTTCTTACAATTCTCTCCAAGAACTGTTTTTTCTCAGCACTTCTCCTTGTCTTTTTCCTTCCTGCATGATCCAGGATGTATGTTTGGAGCCAGCTTCTCTCCCATTCCCCAGGCTCCTGCATACCCCACTGCCTCTGGAGAACTGTTCTCAGGGCTATGTCCCAGGGGGTGAACCAACCTTGTTTTGCATACAGTGATCAGCATCCAGATAAGAATAGGATCCCTCTGAGTGGACGATCTGTCCCAAATTCAAATTCTTTGTTAGGCATTTCCAACAAGAATAATACTTATTTCCACCATGCAAGCTGTACTTTCTGCCTACTCCAAATCCTTTAATTTCCTGTCTTTCTGGAGGTTCTAAAAATTCTTTACTTTTTTTAGAACATTCTACAATTTTATTATTTACAAATACACATGATTCAAGGAAAGTGGATAGATACAATCGGATTCTTTAGTTTAAAAACTCTTTAATGGTGTCAATATTTACTAAAAATCATTTAAAATTATTTAGAACTGACTTACCTCTTCTTTCCACAGTTTTACTTCTTTGACTATATGAGAAGCATATACAGATTTGCTTTTATTTTTCCTTTATGTAAGTGATACATAAAAACAAAATTATATTTGTCAGTATGGCACTATATGAGGGTTTGATCATTTTATATGTAATCTATAAAGAAGGCTAAATATATCTAGTTCCTTTATTTAAAAACATGCAGATTTTTTTTCTAGCCTTTTTTTTTTTTTTTTTTTGGTACCAGGAATCTAACTCAGGACCTTGCACTTGCCAGGCAGGTGCTTGTGCCACTAAGCTATATCCCTGGCCTAGTCTAGGTTTTTGAGATGTGCAATAATACATTAGTGTTTTCTGTAGTTATCCAACTGTGTGGTTAGCACACGGAAACAGACTGCTGTCTAACTACAACTTAGTACCCGCCCATCAGCCACTCCATAGCCTGCCCTCCCTCGTACTGCCTGAAGGCCAGGTAATACCCTTCCACTACCATGTATTTCTTAACATGTCTGAAGATGGGGGACTCTTCTAGTTACTGCTGAATTCACATTTAGCATAACTACATAGTATTCGCAGAATGCATTGTGTGAATATGTTGAAATTTGTTGAGACTTATTTTATGGCTCAGCCCCTGCCCATCTTTTAAGTATTCTATCTTTGAATAAAAAATTATATGTTCCTTGAGCCATGTTTTTTATATACCAAGTTGGTCAACTGTATGTATATTAACCCCTACTGATATTTTTTCACTTTTTATTTTGGATTAGTACATTTTTGCAGCACATAATGGTTCCACTAAGATATGCAAGAGACATCTTAAATCTATTTTCAAGTCTTTTTCCCTCACTCTCCCTTCCCCTTTCTGACATCCATTTATTCCCTGCCCGTTTGGAAAAGATCCATCTCCCTTTTAGTAGTATGTTTTATTTTGCTCCTTATTTATATTTTACATTTCCCATTTAAGGAAAACCATTCAATATTTAAGCTTGTGTGTCTGATTTATTTCACTTAACACTATGGTCAGATTTTTTTTTTTATTGTTTTGCCAGTTCCTAAGCAGAAGTGTTACAATCTAAGTGTAAAATTCCCCACTGAAAATGTTAATTTGACTTTTCTTTCTTCTAGGTCTATTAATGCAAATATATTTTGGCACCATACTATTATCTACAAACAAGTGTAGAATTATTATGCCTTCCCAGTGGGTTAACAATTTCATAATTATGGAATTATTTGTGTATTTCTAGTATTACTTCAGCTTCTAAAGAATAAGATATCTGTACCATACTCTTGGTGTGTTTGTATTTGTCTAACATTGTTCAACACTTTTATTTTCATCTTTTCTAAATCCTCTTTAAATTTGTAACTTTTTAAAAATGCATTTTGTTTAGTTCTAGTCTCACTTTAGCCTCATCTTTGTGTTGTGATTTTAAAAAAAAATTGAAGTACGATCCATTCAAATTTAAAGTAATTACTGATGTACTTACATAAATCTACAATTAGTTTGTATTTGTTTATGTTCCTTCTTTATTCTTTCTTGCTTTTGAATGGACTGAGTGAGCATTTTCATGACTATTTTAGTTTTTGTTAATTTGGAGATTTGCATTCTTTCATAGCCTTTTAGTGGTTTCCCTAAAAATTTTTACTTCTTCTTCACTGATTTTTAATGGGTTTTATTTTTCAAAGCAGTTTTAAGTTCACAGCAAAATTGAGCTGAAAGTGCAGAGAGTTCCCACAAACCCTGTCTCTAGAACAAGGCCTCTACAGCGCAGACAGCCCACCCCTGAGGCTGCGTTTGTCCCACCGTGAATGAACCTACATTGACACAAGTACTTTCCCTTAGGGTTCGCTCTTGTTTCATTGGCTCTTCATTTATTCCTGCATTTCTGTGCTTCTTCCCAGAACAATTTTCTTTTCTGCCTTCCAGCATTTCCGATTCCTGCCTTAATCTTTACCAATTGCTACCAAGAAATTTTTCCTTATTTAAGGAAAAAGTATTTCTATCCTTTCATGAAGTTTTCTGTTTGGCAATATTTCTATATTGCTTATGGTAAAAAGCTTAGTCCAAACTTTCTAGGCCACTGTTACTAGAAATAGAAGATGCTGCAGTTACTCTGTAGTTACCTTCATCTTAAACTGCAGACTTATTTCCTGTTGTTATAATTTTATTTATCCTAAGGCCCAACTTTATCCAACATATTTACCATGTTCCTTAAAATGAGGAGTGTTCGTGAAGCAATGCCAATTTCCACTTCAGTTCATCTGACATTATGTTGTTCTTCTGAAAACTCAGTTACAATTCTGATTTTAGTTCAGATATTTATTTTTTATTCTCAGGGTATCTGTATTATATCAGGGAGAATGTCTCTGAGCTTTATGTTCTGTTAACATTATTATGGGTTTTTTTTGTCTTTTCTTCTGGTACCAGGAATCGAACTCATGACCTTGTGCTTGCCAGGCAGGCACTTTGCCGCTGAGCTAAATCCCCAGCCCTGACATTATTGAAAAATAATTTTTACAGAAGATGGAGTGAATACATTGAACTGACGTTGTCTTACCTAGAATTCTGCTTCGGGGCTATGTCTCTCTGCCTGCATGATGTATGTTCACGCTTGTGTATGTTTCCTGCAACTGTACAATGATCAGTCTTGTTACTGGTTTGCCAGTGTCTGTAGTGAGAGTAGTAACTGCATTGCTCTTCAGACTTTACCTCCTGGTCTCTTGTGGCTTCAAATCATTACAGCAGAAATGAATACCTGAGTTAACAAATGATTGAAGTTATATCTATTACTTGGTCTAATAGGAAAAAAGAGGAAACACCATATAAACCCAGGGATATTTGCTCAAACCATTCCCTGGGATGTACAGTTGCATAATTGCTTTCTGTCCATAATAATTCCAGTATTCACAATCATCAGAACACTTACTTATGTCTCTAGCAATTCTCTTTCCCATGTCTCAGCTCCTTATTTGCTACTGAGAGGAATAGATTTCAAGGCCTCATTTTCTTTCACCTATTTCACTGCAAGGCTGCCTTTCAGAGATTTGCATTCCAGTGTGCCATCTTCCTGACCTGTATTCTTGTCTAATTGCCCAGCCATTCATTTTCTCACTATTGCAAAGATCATCCCTGTGAAGAATTCTCAGTGGTAGGATGCTGTACCTACCTCGCACCATTACCTGCGCTTACCCCTTTATGGACATTAACACACTAATCATGATCAAAATACATTTTCATCTTGTTCTCTATATGAGATTTTCCAGAAGAATCTTGTTTGTTGGGGAAAGGGCCGATGGGGTTTGTGCCAAATAAGGAAACAAGCGAGTGACTTGCGATGCAAACTCCTCAGCTCCTCAGGAGGCCCGTTCTCTGTTGCAGACTTCTCCATCGTGGTCGGAGTGCTGTTCCCTGTGGCGGTCATCTTTGTGGTAGTTGCTGTGGTCCTATGTCACCAAGGTGTCAGGAGACAGCGGAAGAAAGCTCAAAGGTAAGCATTTGTCTTGCGGTGGGGATTCTTTAACTTCTCTACTTTAAATTCAGGGATATGACCTAACCTGTCCAATTTAATTTCTGTTTCCTTGAAATATCCAGAAATACATACAAGATACATTTTCCTTGGACTAGAGGCTGGGATTCCTGTCACTGAGAAAATTTCTTTCACAAGAAATGTGTTTCTTCTGCTGCTAGTTACCATACTTATAATTAACAAAAGTGCTGTTAATTCTCATTAGTAATGATTTTATATTTATTATAACACAATATCTGCCATTAACTGATTACTGGTAATATGATAAACATTGTGCTGGACCCTTTTTTATCCATTATTTCAACTAATTTTCACAAGAACTTCATGAGGTGGTTACTATTATTTCCATTTTGTGATGAAAAATAGTACCTGATAATCCTGCATCGTCAAGTACTTCACATTGGACTCAAGTGAGAACAAGTTCAGAGTTTAACAAATTTATAGTCTTGCAAAGTGAGTGATGGAGCTCGGATTTGCTTCTAGATGTCTTTGTTGGTCTTGACACACCAAATCCTTTTAGCATCCTTCAAACCAATCTATCAGTCCCTAATGAGTCTTTAATAAATATTAAATGATAAAATTAATTAAATGACATACTAAGATTTTAAAAATTGGTTTTAATGTCATCCTTAGTAGGAACTAAAGCTCTGTAGAGTATGGAAAAGAACATTAGCTGTGGTGATTATGAACAGTGATGATGGCTGATAGGAAACTAAAACCTGAGGAATGTTCTAGGGAACTGACGAAAAGCCTGTCAATAATCGGGCAAGGTGCTACAGTCAAAGGAGGTGACCTTCTACTGAATTTCCCCAGTGTGCTGAAGGAAATGCTAGGTCAACTTATGTGACACATTTTCACTTGCAGACCACTATGTGCCGCTGACCCCAGGCTACACAAGCAGAAGAGTAAACTCCAGAAGATGAAGGCTGTCCAGCCCCAAGAGGTACATTCGGGTTTGGGTTTTGCCCGCCATAGCCCCAGTTGGTGCTTTTCTTCACTGTTGTACACTGACCACATATCTTTCATTTCTGCCTAGCAATTTTTACAAATCTACTTGTTAGTGTGTGGCAAGGGGTATGGGCTTCATAACAACATAGCCAGAAAATTCTCCTTCTTCTTTACTTTTTGTTAATGAAGAAGAGAATCTCTAAAATGGGGTTAATTTGATGGGGTCCATGAAATGCAAGGAAATACAGGATACAATAATAGCAGATGGCAAACATCTCTCTCTCTCCATCTCTTTTCTCTGTTCTGGGCTGATTAGTTATTCCTTTGGCAAATTTAGCAACAGAAAAATAATATTTATATGTACAGTCCTAAAGCCCTTATCATAGCCTACAAGGTTAGATATTTTAGCAATGGCTAATTAATGACAGAAACATCGGTAATAGAGTTTCCTCATGGAAACTTTCCTTGTAGATTTGGAGAAATACTCCTATAAATGCCCAGCAGGGCCAATATCATTTTCTGTCTGGTCTCTTGGTGTCAGCTTGGTTCCAAGTTCCTAGAACTTGAAAGGCCTGCTTATTTGGAAGCTACATTTAGGCAACAATGATTTCATTTTAAAATATGATTTCTTTGTTTTAGATCAGTCAAATGAAGCTCCCTCTGTCTCCTCTGCCTGTAGAAGATGGCGAGCCTCCAGCTTATGTGGTGAGTCATCAGCTCTTTCCAGTCCAGCCTCCAAGAAGTACAGAGAACTAGTGAAACACAGAACCCGTAGTGCCCAGTTATTCAGTCAGCACAATGTTGGAATTTGTGGACTATTAATCTAAAACTGTTTGGGAAGCTAGAAAGGCCAAGATGAAAGTACTGGCAGCTGTGGTATCTGAATGGTGCTCTTCCTGTTTATAAACAGCTACTTTCTCGCTGTGTGAGAAAGATTGCTTCTTTGTGTCTTTGCTTAGAAGGCTATAATTCCTATCCTGAGAGTTCCACCCTCAAGATTTAAGTACCTCGAAAAGGTCCCACCTCCAAACACCATCACACTAGGTGTTACAGCTTCACAGTATGAATTTATGGAGAGACACATTCCTCCCTTAGTAACTCTCCTCCTTTCATGATCACAGCATTGGGTTTGTATCTGAATTGTGTGCAAGCACCCAAGTGACAGGCGTCGAGTCACAGGTTTCGAATATTCTCAAGTGTTAGGTTATAAATTCTCCCCTGAAAAAGACTTCAACCTTTTTGTGAGCAAATCTCCTTTCAGGAGCTCACCTTTGAATTAATTTTGTTTATATTCTTACTAGCTAATTTCAAAGCCTGATTTCCCACCACCACCAATTCCTACATCGGTATCTTCTTCCTTTTTGCTTGTAAGTATCATATAGTCACCAGTAAATTTCTGAATGTCTCTTGAGGCCAGTGAGAATACTGTTCCTAAACAGAGCATGTGCTCTTGAGGCTGACATATCATAGCACTTTTTCCCCAGAATAGCTTAAAAACCACAACCTATCTGCTACCTGTATATTCATATGAATATCAGATTATTATTATGAATAAAGTTCTATGATTTATAACTATTGAGAAATGAACAAACTCTCTTCTGTTGTATGTAAGAGTCTCTTTTAAAGGATTGTTTCTAGCTATTTATTTTACAGAATATGAAATTTTATTATAAATGATATTTATTATCTTTTATTATAGATAGAATAAGCCTATTGTTGTTATAGTTTTTTGTAAAATATAGAGGATAAAAAGAGAAAACCACACACAGGCAATCTTAGAATAAAAGTAAGGAGCTCACAAAGTAAACAGTAGAACTCATTCACTCAGCAAAAGTTTCTGAGAATATTTCCTCATGCTTGGGGTTCTGTTGTAAAAAAATGAGAAAAAGCTAATATGGAAATTTGTTTTAGAAAGAAATTTTACAACTTCTGTGGGGAAATCTCACACTTTTAGTTACATACATACGGAGACAAAATCCCTCAAGTGTTACTTGTGTCAGCGTGATATTACTGAGAAACATGGTGAGGAGAAGTGAGTGGGCTTGGGGTGGTTAATGTAGAATGGTGAACCATCCACAGACCAGTGGCATTTGAATTGATTCGTGAATGTTGGGTAGAAATTAAATAAGTAGAGAGGAGGTAATGAATAATTTAATGAAAGAAATATATTTTGCTAAGATGGGGAAAGCATAAAATTTTTAATGATCTACCTGATTTACTGTTATATTTTTATCTAACAGCATAAAGACACAAAAGCACTTCCTTCCACTGTTATCAAAGATAAACCAATGTCTACACCTGAGGTAAGAGAGCCATAGTCAACTATTATAACTTTGTAAAACTCCTAGTATGGTAGAGAAAAATCTCTTGTTAGGAGAAGTTCTCTATGAACAGTATCTGTTGACGGTGGGGTGGGAACTGACATGAATGTTTTAATAATTCCACGTTATACCTCTTTCTAAGATATCACAATGTGTAAGGAAAAATGATTATTTACGAGTTTTCTCTCTTCTTTAGGTCTCAAATTCAAAAGTCTGAAGCATCAGTTAAGCAAAGACTGATGGCCAAATGCTCAAACTGGAAGGTTGGGCAGACTGGATGGAAAAGAATCAAACATACTTGGTCACTACTGTGTGCTCTTGATACCAGCATATCCTGATTCCTGTAATACTTTGAAGAGCTTAAATAAATTTTTTTCAAGAGAGATATTCTCCTAGAAATCTTTATGTTAATTTAAAATTTATTATCTCCATACTTATGATAACTCTGAAGAGACATCTATGAACTTTATATTTCTAATCAGCTTATTTTTCCCAAAATTCCCCTTTTTATTATGCTACTGCCTAATTATTTGGCTAGTTTAAACACCTTAATTTGCTCGTGTGATAGAAATTAATCCACTGTAGTGAAAGAAAAGCAAAATAGAAATCACAGGAAACTGGAAGGGATGGAAGGAAAAACAAACCTTCATTATTGTGCAGCAATATCTTGATCGTTTTAACTGTTAACTTGTCAAAATTAAAATCCTTAGGAGAAAATTATGTAAACACTCTGTCATCTAATGTATCTCTTTCTTATATCGTCTCCTGAGATTTTTATTAGCTCTGTCATTTGTTGTTTTCCACAACTGAGTAAAAAATTTTTAAAATAAAATTTTGTCATATATTTTTTATATAATTCAATTACGGGCACTGTTACATTGACCTTTACTTTTTAAATAGAGGTTTAAGTTAAATAAATTCATAACACAAACCAGAGGCTGCAATCGGTTGACCTACAGGCCATGTTTGGACTGCAGATTATTTATTCTGGCCTAAAAGATGTTGCTCAGATTTTCAAATGTTTTGAATTTATTGCCAGTACTTTAAAACCATGCATAAACTTTAAATTCCCAGCTTTTAAGAGAATAATTAGGCGGTCTGTCCATGCTAGAATCACACTACCCACAAAACCACAGCTCGGTTGACTGATAGAGCAAGTATTGTTGGCTGTACACCAACTGTGTCCTGTCTCCCTTGTTTTCAGAACTCCAGTTTTGTCCAGCTGTCCATTTCTAGGAAGAAATATCCCAACTCCCCCATCACATGCATAAATCCCATTCCCCTAACGCAATCATAATAATCTCAATTTTTTTTTGCTAGTTGTTGATCTGGAAATGAATGTCTAACTCCCCCTTTCCCATGAGACAAGTGAGGAGCTCCTTTTGGACATTTTTTGTGAAATATTTCCTCATCTTTTCTCATGCATGTTGGTATCCATTATTATTGCAGCTATGCTGTGATTAAGAAGATGAGGAGGGTACACTGATAGAGCAGAAACATGGAGAGAATAAAATCTGTTCTTATTAATGGTGCCATTGAACTGCTTGATTAATAACTGCTGAAGTCACCCCACACTGTGTTGGTGCTTCTTCTTATATGACCAATACAGTTCCTTTTTGTTCAAACCATTTGGAGTTGGGATTTCCCTCCTTTGTGATGGGAGATGTCCTAATGAATAAGGTAGCTTTTTCATTTTCAGGCTGCCTGCTTCCTACATCATCACTGTCTTATTTTTCTTACACTTGGTCAGTTTGATCCTTTTTGTCTCTTACCTACCCATACAGGATTTTCTTCTCATCAGGAACTTTGCCCCCCAAGAAGGCCACGTATCCTTGGTAGTGTGGGGATCTGGATAAACTCTTTCTGACCTCAAAAGTGAAGCTCAATCCTCAGCAAGTCCAGAGTCCACCTGTCAAATAATTTCCATATTTGGAGCCTTTCTTTCCACTTGGGATTAACACAAGAACGATGTAAAAAGTAGAGTTGAACCTGCAGTATGAGATTTTGTTTGTTTCTCTGCTGAGTTTTGGTTTGCTCTTTGTTTTAATATCCACTTCTAGCCACAAATTCACTTTACCCTTTTAATAGTGACAAAGTAGAAATATTAACCTTATGAGTCCTCAACAAAGTGCAACCCTAGCCGGAACTACACATAAATCATATACGCTCCCAAAGTGGTCTTCAAATGTCCCTGTAGGTTCTTAAATGATGCCATCGTATCCTCCATGCAGAGGTATGTCAGGTCCCCTACGACGATGGGCACCCTAAGGACAGCAGCACGAAAGCCATCCTCTTAGCATAGCCTGTCTGCAATCACTCCTTTGAGCTGACTGACACTGTGGAACAGTTTAATCAGTTTAGAGCCCACTTTGATTTCACAGTTCAGGTTCCAGTCCCAGATCTGAAATTGATTGTGTGTGAATTCCATCATTTCACCTCGAACCAACTCAGTTTTGCTAGCAAACTTATTAGTTATTTTTACCCTTTCTACTTTTTTTTAACAGATTCAAGTATGTTCTTGTAGAGCACACTGTGTGAAGACATCACGTGGCTTCTCTGAGCACGTGTTAGCACCTCATGAAATCATTGCCTTTTTACGCATCTTGGAAATGTTTTAGACTTTGTACAAAATAATGATGTATGTATGAGAAGGAAAGCAACTTTTGATACAATTAGATAATATGAAAAGGGCTTTATTAACATTAATGTTTTAAGATTTTATATTAACATATGTTTGCATATACTAACACATGTATTCCTCATGGAGAATTGGTGCATATACATATTGTGTCTCAATCTTCCTTTTTACTTTTACTTCCTGTCCCCTCCGCCTCATCTTTCCCATCACCAGTCCCCTTCCCATATCTTCAAAGTCTATTGCCTTGTTTCCTATCATCTATTTTTATTTTACTCTTGAAATTGTTTTTACTTTGGGTTCCTCAGATAAAAGAAATCATGTGATATTTAATTTTCTGTGCCTGGTTTATTTCACTCACCACTATGGAATCCACATGTAGCCACTTTCCTACCAGTGACTCAGATGTATCATTCTTTAGGGTAGATTCTGAGGTGGATTTGCCGGAAGTTTATTCACACTTGCTAGTTAGGTAATAATAGAATGCATTCGCGTCTACTATTAGGATAATAGAATGAGAGGAGGAAGGATGGGGGGGAATGATCACAATAGGTTTTCTCATTCTTAATATCTGCTTGTTTTAGTGCCTTGCTATATTTATGCATAAACAATTTTACAAAACTTCAAACAAGTATAATGCAACAGAAAAAAGAATAGTTTAGAAAATAAAGTCACAGAAATCAAAAATCCATGGGTCAGATGAGACACACAAAATAGAGGACAGACAGTCCTACATGCTTAAGTATGGGAGCCAAGTTTTTCTCCAGACTACTTAAAAACAAAAAAGTAAACAGACATGAGAAGTAAACAGGATTAGTATAAAAGTCACAGAGTCCATAAAGCAAGAACAAACATACTACAACCAAGGATAGTAAAATTACATACATAAACAAAGTAAAATTAACCAGCCTCCTGTCCCCAATTAAACCAATGGATCAGAGGGAGCATACATAACTTCTTTCTTCTGAGGCCAGAAAGAAGTTTTCAGGATGGTGTTCCTATTGGATCAAATTATAGAACCTGCTGGTGCCTTTTTCTTGGACTCTCACCTGGGTAACTCCTATGTAGTTCACATAGCCAATCACATATCCAATTTCACATATCCAATTGATTGCTCCAACCCACATGAGTCATGCACTTTCAAGAAAGAACATCAACAGGGAGAAAGATTTAGTCTCAAATTAGGATTTCCCTCAAACCTTTTCACCAGTAACTTGGAACGCTGGTCAGGATTAACTATTCCTAACTGAGCTGTACAATATGAATTCAGAAATCAACTAATAGCTGGATTACTCAAATCATCACTGAACAAATTCAAGGGTTAATTTCCTCCTATTTTTAGAGTAAATGACTTAAAAATATATGTATATGTATAATGATATGGGTTACATTTTGTATATCTGCACAACTATTAGATTTACATGTTTTTGAAATCTCAAATGAATATTGAATTATCTCCAAATATTATTGAGGATAGTAGCACAAATGCTAAAATCTCAATAATGGAAATCTCAAGAGATATTTCAAAAAAGTGGACCTACAAAATACTTGAAGATCTTAAATCTATTCATTTTTCTGTAGATTCATTCCCATACACCTTGATCTTTTTTTGGATCAAAGTAAGGTGTTATTTATTTTCTTACCCTTACCTTTATTTTAGTTGTAATTAATTGTGCTTGGAGTAAGAGAAAAAAACAGTAAAATAACATACTGTTTTCTTCACTTGATAAAATCTATGTTGAAAGTGTCCTTTATGTAATAATGGTTCCTCACCAAGTGTGAGATTCAAAACCCTCTATGCAGAAATGTCACCACTAGCATCTGGCGACATCAATGTTCTGGATGTTGACCATGCTAGGAGATGTGTCACTCTATCTCCCTGCTATCTTAACTTGCAGTTCTCAATGACTTATTGATTTCAGGCAATTTTTATATGCTTATCTCATATACTCTGCCTTTTGCACCTTTTATTTTGTTAGAGCTGGAGATAATGCCACAGATAGAAATTTTATTTGAGTCCTCTAGTTTCTCTTCAGATTATGACTGTCCCAGGGGACTGACTCCAGTTATCTTAATGACCTTTACTGTGAGCTGTCTGTGTGATGAAGAAATAGGTTCTCATCACGAAAGCCACATGAGATGTTTGTTTAGACTTCTGCTTCCTTCTTAGAACATCAAATGGAGAAGAAAAAAGGAAGAAAGGTAGCTTGCCTAAGTAAAATTAGTTTTCATAGTACAAGGGGGATTTGAGGACCCACTTTTCTAAATAAATTTATTGAAAAATATGTATCTTCTCCTTCTTAAAAAAACTCTGATTTTATGCAAATTGCTAATGTGGCATTTTCCCCTCCCCTAGAACTGGAAGAAAACTGAAAGGAACCACTAGTAGAAAATGGGACTGGAAGTGGGCTCATCTTTAGAACCAGGTAGACCCCACCTACTTCTCAGGGACAGAGCAGGCAACTCACCATCCTGCCACCATCACAGTCTGTGTCCCCGCCCTCCTTGTGCCTGGTGTAGCCAGGAGATACTGGCTCAGAAGGCGCAGGAACCTCTCACGCCAGAGTTCACATTTGGGCCCTCCCTGCATGCGCCCTGAGCCACCATGTGTGTAAGTTTGGTTTGGGACATGAGGCAGCTCCACAAATCTATGAGAGAGAAAGGAGAAACAGAAAATCAGCTTCCGCTGCTCTGGCTTGACCCCACAGTGTTCTGTGTATGTTTGCAGCAACTAAGGCTAATCTTGGACTCACGAGTAAAATCAAAGGGACAGAGGAACCTTGTGCAGGGATCTGCCAACCTGAATGAACCTGGCAGATCTCTGGCAGAAGCTTTATCTCCTAATCCCCCTAAACACAGAATGGAGGTGATATCTAAGAGTTCTTGCTTCTTAGACTTCTCCTCTGGGGACAAAGGATAGAGGTCTGAGTTGAGAGCTGTCTGTGGGTGGCAAGGGGCTGACTTATTTTCTAGTTCCTGAATTCCCATAATCTGGAAGGAGAGCTCCATAACCCTCTCCACCCTAAGGTTTGCACCTGATCACATTTAAAGCCTGTCCATCCCATACATGTGGCTTAATAGAAGAAGCAACAGTTCCATGTAAAAACAAAATAATTTGCCAGAATAGGAAAGCATCAAGAAAATAAATATTGAATGAAATATATAGATTG